TCTATAAGACAATAAATTTTCTTAATATTTTTTTTATTTATAGAACTTAAATTTAAAATGAATTAAATTTTTTACACATAAATCAATAAGTTATTGTTATAAAATTTACTTTTGTTGCTAATAAGAAAAAAATAAAGTTAGACAAAGGGAATATTATTTTCTTCCACTTGTGGGCCAGGAAATAAATTTAAGGAGGGTAAGAGAAGAAAAAGGTATAGTTTTTATCTCAATATCTTGGTCCTACCTACCGTCGACGCCCAGGAAAGGAAACAAAGGACCACAGGAGGATCATTCTCAGGGCCCTTGAAACAACAGAGCGTCTTTTGTTTGTATTAAGAGTCTCGTTGTTTGATAAAAGATGGTTGCTCATACTTTTAATTTCAAATATTGGCAGATTTTTATTATGTCAAGATGGTGACTGGTGAGTGGTAGGAGTGTCAAGATTTTAGTTTCTCTTAAAATAACTATCATTTTTTAATTTTAAATTTATCTTAAATTAATTATTATTTTTATTTTTTAAAAATAAAAGTATTTCTTCCTTATTTTTATCTTATATTATTACCCATTTACTTATATTAATCTTTTTCTATCACAAAATGCTTTATCTTATATTTTTTTAAAGTAATAAATAAGCACATAAATTGTCTCTAAACTATTACGGAGTAATTTATTTGGTCACAGCCTTTAATTGCAACCTCTCTTCATCTTTTAAGTTTTGTGTCTCAAAATAATAAATATTATATATAATGGATAAATAAAACTCAGAGATAATCATAAAATTAAAATAAAAAATATTTATCTTTTTTACAATATGAAAAATGACTTGTATTTACAATACAAAATCATTTAATTAAACTTTATACAAAAATTAAATTATAATAATTAAATCAGAGTGGAAGAAAATAATACTCCCTTTGTTTAACTTTATTTTTTTCTTATTAGCAAAAAAATTAAATTTTATAACAATAACTTATTGATTTATGTATAAAAAATTTAGCTCATTTTAAATAAAATTTTAAATTTAAGTTCTATAAATAAAAAGAATATTAAGAAAATTTATTGTCTTATAGATTCCAATACCATTTGAGTATAATATAAGATAAAGTGAGGTTAGTAAAAGAAAAAAAATCCGCCGACTATAACCAACTTTGACAGACTGCAAAACAGCCATTATTACAATGCTTTTTATTAATTTACAATTTCTCACAAGAATATGTGAAGTGTGAAGTAAAGAAAATTTCTCATAAAATTTTATCCAAAAAAAATTACCTCTATCTTCATCTAATGAAAAAAAATATTTTAAGAATTTTCATCACACGATGAGAATCTCCACAAAGATCTCCATAGAACACCACCAAACATGGCAAAAATTATCATCCCTATTAATAATTTGATAGGCAACAATAACTACACCCATTATAATTAACCAAGTGGGATGGACAGCTGGAATTGGACACTTCACTTGACTTTTCTTACATAATTATTTGAAAAAAAAAAAAAAACAGAAATATATTTAAGAAATTAGAAAATAAATGTTAGACACAACTTAACAACGTTGTCATGTATTTTGCAGTCTGTCAAAACTCACATTTGCTTCGTTAGAATAGAAATAGAACCTCTTCAAAACAGCACTCATTTTTCTCTTTAGAGGAGGTTTCATCAAAACTCACATTTGCTTAGGAAGAATAGAAATAGAACCTCTTCAAAACAGCACTCATAGCATTTTTTCACCACCAATAACGTAAGTTTCTTCAATGGGAGAGAGGGTTAAGGTTTTATCTCAGATTCTGTCCAATGCATCTCTGCAAAAACTTACCTTAGGACAAGGTGTGCTGAGGTCTAAACTTCATCTTCTCCCTCAACACTTAGAAACAGAAAGATCGGCAGATTTGACGTTGTTGAACGACGTTAATGGAGAGACTCTGTCTATAGTCACTGCCTCGATTCAGTCAGAGAGAGCTCCTCGACTGGTTCTCTTGCAGAAAGGGTGGAAGCCTGTCGTTAAGAAACTTCGCTTGAAAAGAGGCGATCGGATCAGTATTTTTCTCTTAGATAGAGAGACGTGGAGTTATTCAATTCAGGTTGAAAGAGCCGCAGCGGGGGTGGAGGCCGACCAAGTTGATGCAGATATGGATGAAGAGGTTATTATTGCCGCTGAAGCCCTTATGAGCATGGCGACTTCAGGAGGACAGCGCCTTGCTCATTGTGGTCTTTGATGTTTGGACGACCTCTGTTTGATATGAGAAGAGAGCATGGAGCTAGCGTGCGGCAGGCGGTATGTTTCTTGTTTTTCTTTGTATTAATTTGCTTTGTCGGAACCGGATTGGGTTTAATTAATTCATCCAATCAATTCAACCGATTTTTGTATAAAAAAAAATTCAACCAATCACTTCGATCAATCAAAAAGTTAATGTTTTTTTAACATTTTTCGTATATTTTAATGCTATATTGTAATACTAATTTATTTTTAAGACATGAACACCTAAAAAAAATTTGTAATCACTTTAGTAGCAATTTAAAAAGTAAAATTTAAATAAATACATATAATTTAAAAAGATAAAATATGCAAAAAAGTAAAAATTAATATTT